TGCATCGAGAGTGGTTTTTAATTCCTGACTAAATATGATTTCTGGTGATAGTTGATTCAGGGCTGAAGGATTCGATGTCGTGCAGTAAAGCAGCAAAAATCAATCCAAAGTTTCGTTAATCGTCCCCTCCTCCCTTTATGATTGCTCGCTTAAAGGTATCAACAAAGCGTTCTGCTTGACTATTGGATTCAGGATGATATAGAGGACCACAAATATGTTGAATACAAAACACTGCAAAAGTCTGAGAAAACATATGATGTAAACTGAGTCCCGTTATTGCTCACCAAAACGTCAGGAATTCAAAGTCGGCAAAATAGCTTACGCAGCTGTGTCACTGTTGCATTTGACGCAATACACTGCATAGGAATAACTTCTGGCGATTTAGAACATGCATTAACACATATCAAGAAATGCCTACCGTTAAATGGTTCAGCTAAGTTGACATCCATTGGAGACCTTGGTTTCATTGGTGTCGGTCAAGAACACAGTTCTGTCTTGCGTGGGCATTTGGATGCTTGTGCACATTTGCTGCATTGTCAGACAACATCACTGATATGTTCATCAATATTGGGCCAGTATATATAACTGCGAGCAACCGATTTCAGCTTTCCCATGCCAGGATGCAACGAATGAAGCTGACGGAAGACAAATCTACAGACACTAGTCGGAACCACTACACGATCGGCGAACAGCATACAGTCTTTGACGTCGTTGGTAAAATTGCCTTAGTTCATGAGAATGAACATTCGAGGGCCAGCGCATAGCATAAAATTTGAAACTTACTACAGAACTGGACCACGTAAAGTGTGGCAAGCAACCTCATCTGTTGTGATTGGAAGTTAGTTAAATGGCATATACAAGATCTCTGTTTATGTCGTCGTCACTGTCTAACTTCTGACTACTCAACAGACGTCATTAAGCATCTACTTGCCCAAATTCAAGAGTTGACTTGTCTTTGATGTGAAAATTACATCCTGGCAACATAATAGCCCATCTTTGAAGACGATTTGGCGTATATACTGGAATACCTTTCTTTGGACCGAATATTAACAGTAAAAGTTTGTGGTCGGTGAATAGAGTAAACCTCCTGCCATGAAGTACTTTGTGGAAGGTTTTAACAGCAAAAATAAGTGCCGGTCCTTCTTTCTCAATCTGGCTGTATTACTATTCCGTTGCATTTAAAGTTCGAGAAGCAATGACGAAAGCATGTTGACAGCCTGGCGTGCAATTCCATTTCGCATTTTTAGACAGAAAATGACTCAATCGAGCACGTAAACGGGGAAGATCTGGCACGAAAACAATAATAACTGATGAAACCAAGAAAAGATCATAGTGTCGAAACATTTGATGAAGGAGGCATATATTGGATAGCATGCCAATTCGACTATTCTCTCCCAGTAACTTCTTCTTCACTGAGTCATACAAATATCAAAAAAAAGTCTAACCAATGTTAATGAGAACATGACCGAGAACTAACCGGCGAATGACAGACATTCCGGGTTATGACCTGGAGGGATATAGTGAAGTATGTCATCACAGAATTCCTAAACAGTCAGTTTCAGATATCCACAACCCCTTAGATGTTCCTAGTTGTCTACTTGAGCACAGCTGGTCATCGAGTACCCCTGCCACTCACCATAACACACCTAGCTCAACTCACGTGCGTAAAACGATACCTAGTCACAGTGTCCTAACGCTCTTCATCTTCACAGTACACAAATGTATACAATAACCTCAATGAACAAGGCTTTCCACAAAACTACTAATCTGATCAGGGTGTCCAGATTGAAAACACAGTACAAATATGAATATCACTGTTGACTTGTCGCAAATGGTGACGAGAAGTAAGAGGTATCTGGTCCACTGCTTTGTAGCTGGTTGAATATAGAGAGTAATGAATAGAGGGATCGCCGTAGAAGGCAATATCTTCAACTTCTTCCAGTGATGATGCATTCAATAGATGCACACATGAAAGACTGAGGAAAGTGTTGGTGTAGGCACACAGAACACCTGAAGTGACACTGCAGACGGCTTCCAAACACTGTCACTAATACAACACAAGTATTTCATCAGAGTAGTCACAGTGTTTGCACATACAATAAACCACAGACCACTCAACGACAGTTCTCATCTTACTCTAACCACTAGAATGATAGTCTGACTGACTGGACAGTGCCTCTTCAACAGTCCTCGGATCACGCATCTCACCTCATCATAGTCTGAAAACTGAGACATTGTAGCCATAATTGCTAATGACAGGTACACTGATGTTGTTAGTGAAATCACACTTCTCATTCACAAACGAGGATGTGCAGCACTTATCCATCTGAAGTGGAGGAATACATTCAATGGAAACGTAGACAGTGCGACCGTTTGAAGTAAATAACTATGGTCACCTTTAACGTGTTGAATATCTCCCATATCCATCATCTGTTTATTCTTTCTATGCTCCCTTCACGTTTGTCAGTTTTCATCTCATTCACTTGCTATCCACCGTTTGGTTGGCAAGTATGCTACTGTGGAGTGTAGTAAATTGAGATGATGCACTTTTCGGTCAGGTTTGATTTTGATCTGACATGTCCTAACCATAGTTGTAGGTACTTCATTGACTTGAGTGGGCAGTGTAACAAACATTTATGCTGACAAGGTGTGTGTAAGGCTTGTATTGTTTCATCACTCCATCAACTGGGAAATCCCATTATTATATCATGAGATCCTTAGCTTTTGAATCGTCGCTGCAAGCATGCAGATGACAAGTGTTTACCACCTGCTATCAGAGCTTTTGAGGTACGCAAGTGCACTCATTACCTAGTGGAAATACCAAGACAATACTCTACTGTAGCAGCGCATTACAACACAGGATCCCAACCTGCTGTACACTCGGATATCTTGTACCAGCAGTTACATCAAAGTAAATTGAACGTAGTGCAACAACAATTCAAATTATATCATTATTATCCTTTCATTTATATATCATTTGCCTCCAATACAATTTTTACTGTTACAAAGGAAACGAGTTGAACAAATATATCTTTTACGGATTCGACAGCTGTATAGGGGCTATTTATACGCTTTCATTCCAATATATTGAATAGTTATATAAACTATTCAACTAAACTGGTGACGAAGATCAGAAGTTCACAAGCAATGATGCAATGCGAAAATTAATCACAAAAGAGAATAGAAATCAACATTATTGACAGGATAGAATATACAACTGCACAATTAACAAAATAATTTTCAAGATCAAGTATGATCAACAGTAGCATGGAGAGAAAATAAAGATGATGTGGAGTCATATGCAGTAAAATATAACAATTATAAATGAAATATCTTTGTAAAATCCTAATGAGGTAGAAGAATAAATTTCTGATGTTTCGTGACTTCGTGGAACAATGACTATGGATGACGAATTAGTCATTTACATACACATCCATCCTGAACTCCAGACTAATAACGGACAACGAAGATAAGTTTGAACGTCACCTGTCCAACATAACAAAGACATTTACGCCCATATTATTATTATATCTGAACGTGATCTGATTTGTATCCATCTACTAAACATGCAGTAGCTTATATTCGTTATATTCTCTGAAGAGGCGATTTTTACGAAGTCGCGTAACGTCAGAAATCTACCTTTCTACTTCATTGGAATTTTACATTTCATTTATAATCCATTTGCCTAATTCTCAACTTATTCAACTCTACTAGGTCAAATTCGATCCTGAGGTTTATAAAATATAACAATGTTTTGAATACATTTGGAGAGAGAGAGAGAGGTTGATGTTTTTAATTATTTACTAAGTCAAAGGTAGCAACAAATGCTGAACAAGTCCTTTGTGTATGCATGATTCCGGTTTCTCCATGCAAGTGATAAAAGCTTGTTGTATAGAAAAGATGAAGATGCACGACAAATTTCTCTTCATATTGAAAATGGTTTTGAAAGTTGAATGATTTATGGTGCTGTGACCAGTTTTGATACGTTGCTCAACTATTGCACTTCTGGTGGATCCACTCGCAACTCTTTTCAGCCAGGCGGAATTATGTTTTCTAAACCATTTCGATGCACATTCTTTTCAAACAAGTTAGAGAAAGTACGGTAGTTAAAGTCATATCGGTTACTTCTTGACTTTAAGCCTGTTTCTTATTACCATTTGCATAACGATAGGATTCGTTGAAAATTTATATAAATTTGTGTATGCGTACTCCTACCCTTTAACTTGGTTAAAAATTATTTACCCGTTCTGATTCCACTGTCTAGCGAGTGCAGTGTTGAGGTCGCCCTTGAGAATGCTTTCAAATCTAACTAACGTAGAGTTATCTGCAAGTGAAATATGGATATAGAATATTAAACGACCTGTAGATGAATGGTGGTTTCCAGTCTCAATAGGGGTATCAACAGTTATTGGGACGCGGGCCCAAAATACGATGAAACACGCATTCGGCATTCCTCTACTACTCATGATTTACCTTTCATATCAAAACGAAATCACCGGTTATATCAAGGCATACGAACACGAGTCAATATACTAATAGTCACCCATGAGTACAATTTAAACCCATCAACAACGAAAAATAACCAGTTGTAGTGTTAAATGGAAACCTTTTAACCACTCAGCAAAATAATATTCAAAGATTTTTAACAACTATCTTTATAGAAGATTACAAATATTTACATTGTGATTAGATACTAACAACCTGATCGAATCATTTGAAATAATTAAAAGGAAATGAAACAAACAAATGCTCAAGAATACAAAAACATGTCAGTTGATAACTGAGTACTGAAACAATCACATTAACATACACATTTGCATAAACAAAAACAATATTCAGCGGTATTGATATTGCACAAATCGGAAACCAGATGTTTTAAATAAGTGTCCAGAAGGCTAAGGTACCGCTGCTTGGTGGTGTCCACTTATAATATCGAAGATTACATTGCCATGTTTACACACACATATATAGGAAACTTGTAGCAAATCAATGTATGCTGCTTAAGTCACTTTTTCCTTGATAACACCTTGAACATGGTTGGTACTGATATCATCTTCCCCATCATTGATTTCATAAACCCGATGCGGTTCTCCTGGTTTCAAAAGTCGCCCAATATGATCATAGCGTTCTGAAGAATAAAAGGATAATACTACAACTTTCTTATTTTGAAAAACAAGTTTACATAGAAATATTTTGGTACGCGTTTGCATACTAGACAGTCTTTTCGAAATAATTTCTGAGATGCTCACTAAAACTACGAATGTACAACTTCAGCTTGACTAGTAATCACCTTGTCTTTGCCGAGACCTAACTTTTCACGGGGTGACTATTTCGAGGGGACATAGTTGGCTTAGAGTATGTGGATAACGTAGACCTATTAGTTGAGGATTTTGGCAAAATACATGACATTTGTAAAACCCGAAGAGAAAACCTGTACGTATTTTAAATGGATGTTTTGCTCACCAACTGTAAAATAAAGCATCAAGATAATTCAGTCAACGAGATGGTAGACCTGTAACAACTGAAGTGGCTGGGTTACGTGTTTTGCATGGCAAGTGATCACGCTCATGCACCATATTGACTAAAGTATGATTAAGTTGGGAGAAAGCTAAGGGTGACTAGACTTAGATGTGAAACAAATCCGTTAAGTTTTTGGCTGCTGGTTGCAGCTGTGGTCGGGAGACTTGAGATACCTCAGCTCGGTCTGGTGTTTTTGTTTGTTTTGACAGCTAGCTGGATTACTTTTTGAGTTCCACCTCTTATTTTCTGATCTTCCAACACCGCGTTACACAACAAAGATAAGCCTCAGCAGATATGTGAATAATAACTACTTCAATTTACTGCAGTAAATTTATCATTATTCGAAATCACGCAGGCATGCATAAGCATATGGACAGTTTTCATCTAAAGTGAAGAAAACCAGTGGTGTTCGCCAAAAGTGGGTTATCACTGTCCCTGCTTAACTTCGCTGTAGACATACTGAAGAATATAACCATAGATGTAACTGAACTTAAAGGGATCGATCTACACCCTAGAAGATGTCTAGTTGACTGGGAATAAGCAGATGATACAATCGTATTCGACAACGATACTGGAAATATGCTTATTTTTCGGAACGCCTTGATCAGAAATCTGAGTATCTTTGCCATGCGTTTTTCACTCGTCTAATGTAAAAGATGCTCCAGGACTGGTCTGTAACTAACCTTAGTATAAGGGGTGAAGTGCAGGAATGCGTTGACTACGTCAGTTAATTGAGGAGCTGGTTCCTGAAGAAATCTCAGCTCGGATACAGAACGTTCATTTAGCATATACCAACTTACATCACCTGTGGCGCTGGCGAGATATCTGACTGCCTATTAATGGGTGAGTTGCATTCTGCTCTGTCCTATTATACGGCTGAGACGGTCAATGGAAGTAGACCCGAAGAGACTAGATCACAGGTACTTTTGCAGCATTACCAACCTGTTTTGGAATCCCTGTGTAACGTCGAGGTTTGGAGAAGGATACTAGGCAAGGCAAGCAGGTCCGTCGATGAGGCTGTGAACCTTTAGTGACTGAGGTGATCTGGTGATGTGTTGCCCATACAAAATCACCCCAACGAGCCATGTTAACCGAAATAGGACTCGATCGGAAGAAGGCTCAGGATGGCCAGACCAAGAGGTGGTACCAACGCACGGAACCCCTGACTGTTGATCCGAACCGTGCTAGGTTGATGTTTTCGAGACAATGGAAATCAATGTTTTGATACCTTATTGATACGACTAAAAATAGCTCACGGTGAAGCAAGTTGATTCACTCTTCTAAGATTTGAGCATTTTCAGAGACCTTCATTTCTGAAAGGCTTTCTCCGTATACATTTCCAATTACTTTGATGTCAGTCTTTTTCTATCTACTTTTTGTATGCGTTTTGTTGTAAAGTGTGATAACGAGCTGAAGCACATCTGTGCGAGATCTACTTTTATTTTGTCAGTATAATATCATTGGGTTCACAAGAGTAATTCAATTTCGGGATACTAAATTCTTCACATTTGTGAGGTGAGATCAAGTGAACTACTGCACTTGGAACTTGCGTGAGTGTCTCAGAAACCCAACGTACATCCATCGTCCAATGTGTCAGGATTTCGGTAAGTGACGCATGTTGTTCAATTTGCAATAGGTTTCAGACGTTAAATGCACCAATGTGAGATTAGAAGTGTGATTTTTAAAAATTAGGAATGATGTTTCGTTGGCTTCAATAATTAGCAATAGTGAATGGGTGAGGAGTTGAGGAAGTTTTAAGGGGCTTAGGGTTGGCATCAGGAAGTGAAGGCACGAGAGAAGAGATAAGTAAGTAAAGTAGATTATGATTAGTCGGGTTCGGCATGCTGCTAGAAGTGTACATGCGATTGGTATTTCCTGGCTTATCACACTGCACAAGTTGCTTCCGTGAGGTACCTGAAAAAAATAAGTTAGTAATAGTAGTAGGTGACCGAAGAGCTCTAGGAACATCCGCTTGAAGCCGGTCACATGGCCTTTTGCTTTCGTAGGATACTTTATCTGTATCAAGCAACTATCTGTGTAAAAACAAATGAACGCCAAGATGCAACAAAGACGAGTCAGGTTGTAGTGGGCGTTGCTGATAACAATGGATATAAGTAGTATATGTTGAGAGGGTGGCAGGAATCATAGGGAATTACCGACAATGGATAAGGTTTCTGCCAACAGTAACGCAAGGGATAACGCAGGCGTATTACAGTGGATGCTGCTGAGCCTTGTCACAGTAACCATAGGGGTCTCCATCTCCCGTGAACAATCTGTCGTATTTCTTAAATACCTTCATGATGTTTAGAGCTTCTGGGCATGGTGCTTTTGGTACTTCAATCTTTGCTACCTAGCTGTTTTCCTGCGTGGTGAACGACTCGTACTTCGTTGCCACTATTTCTGCTCTCATGTTAATAAATGCAGCCTCTTCTCTCAGAAAATCAGCATCTAGGATTGGCCATTGTAGGCGCATGGTGAAAATAAATGGGAATCTAATTTTCCGGCTTCCCATCTCAACGATGCAACCTGATAAGCTTGCAATATCCAGTGCATGCCCCCCAACCGTGTGGACCGTTTGCGCACATGGTCTTGTGTTCTGAGACTGCCTCTTATCTATTAGTGAGACTGCGGCCCTTGTATCTTTAGGACACACGATCTCCCGACCATTTATTCGCAGTCTAGCATACACCGCGCCTCGATCTATGGCTCCTACAATCTCTAGTCTAGTCGGAAAAACAGAACTCATATTATATCGTCCAAAACTTTTTCTTTTTCGCCTCTCCGGACAATTTCTTTGCCAGTGTCCAGGTTTCTCTCACGCCAAGCAGTTACCCTGTTTGTTGATGTTCATTCGCAGTGCAGCTACCTCTTCCTGAAGGTTGTCGATTTGTTCTTGCCAGATATTTACCTCTACTGCCGCTACTCCTGTACCCATTAGCTGTCTGGTCATCTTGGCCATTTCACTAATGTATGGACATTAGTTGGGCTGCATTGACTAGTCTTAATTAGTCGGCAATGGCATTCGGGACACTTTCAGTGAACTATGCAGCCAGCAACTGTTGTTGGGCGTCCTCATCCAACGAGGGAAGTACTGATCGAAGTAGTATGGTCAACTTCACAGCCAACCAGCAGATCTTCGTCTATTCCCAGTTTCGTGCTGCGGAACTGCTGCATCGCCAGCTCCCTGTCCGCTGGGCTGTCAAACTCCGCCTCCAAGCGTTCAACCATCCTCCGCAAAGTCTCCTTCCCGTCTCCACGTCCCACACCGTCATATGCTGCTTTCGCCCTACCCCTCAGCAACGTGCCCAGTACCACGACCTTCGCCTCTGGTTATCGAACCCCCATCAGCTCCGCTGCCGACTCGAAGTCCCTGAGGAAGACCCTGATGTCTCCATCCTCAAACTCTGCAGGCCATGGAATCTTCACCACATCCAGAGGCAGTGACACCAATTGAAGAGGCAGAAGACAAACACGACGGAAAGAATGATTATTGTGGAAAATTGGAACGGTAGTCGTTACATATGGTACACCTTGCACTAACCCAGTCATTTGCAAATGTCTTCGTTTCCTCTTCTGTTCCTCTCTTGATTTGCTCTTGATCTGCTCTTCATACATTCTTATCAGCAGCATCCACTGTAATACGCCTGCGTTATCCCTTGCATTACTGTTGGCAGAAACTTTATCCATTGTCGGTAATTCCCTATGATTCCTGCCACCCTCTCAACATATACTACTTATATCCATTGTTATCAGCAACACCCACTACAAGGTTCGAAAAGTTCCAGTGAATTTCGCAACAAAAACAATGAGTTACCAAAAAACTTGCTAGCATACACAACTGCCAGATTGATTTCGACCTATATCACCTGCAGCTATCAACCACTGATTTCGGACATCACACTAAAGTCAAGTGATGAAAGAGAGACATTCAAAAAGTACTTCTATGACAAAGTTGGATAGAAATGGAGAGTGTACATCTCTGACAGACCGTATTCGATATATAAAATTCACTTCGTCATAGGCCTAAACACGTACATGAGTAATCTAATACAGAGCTGTTAGTAGAGTGGTCCACTGACTAGGCATCACTTCCGGTGAGATACTGGCATAGGATCTCTTCATCGACAGGACAGGTCAAGAAATAGTCAGATGACAGAAAGTAAGACAAAGACAAAATAAAAATAGGACTAAGTATTACTGTATAACCTTCCAGGTTGCCACACCTTATATCAACACATCAAGCGAGAATGGACTAAGACGAAAGATAGAAATAAATGAGAAAGCATACAAAAGAGGGTAAGGAAGAATGAGAAAATGCTGAATTCAGTATGACCAGTAGGATGAGGATAGTGTAGATAAAGATAAGCTACTGAGAACGATTTTCAGCCATGTCACCTGAGTCGATGAGGATCATAACTTCACCATCTGACTCTCTTTTCTTCCCTAAAACTCTGCGCCTGAGTTCTACACACCATCTATGCTGCAAAGACAAGGGTGGTAGAATAACTGAAGCCTCCTCATATCTTTCACTTAAAACAGTCAGATAGTACAGCTGATCTAACTGCAACGCAGTACACCCGACTTGACCCAGCAAAGCTGATTCGACTT